CTAACTAGTATATTACTGTGGTCAGCATTCTTAGCTGTATCGACTATTTAGTATCACATTACTTAATTATTATTTTGGACATACAACTATTTTATATGGAATAAGATAAAGGTTGGCGAAACGGTGGCTCAGTGGTTAGCAATGTTGCCTCATAGCAAGAAGATCTATGATTCAAGCCCCGGCTGGGTCTGTAGACGTTTTTGTGTGGAGTTTGCATGTTCTCCCCGTGTTAGCGTGGGTTTCCTCCGAGTGCTCCAGTTTCCCCCACAAGTCCAAACACATTCGCTATAGATGAATTGGGTAAGCTAAAATTGTCCGTAGTGTATGTGTGTGAATGAGTGTGTATGGGTGTTTCCCAGTGATGGGTTGCAGCTGGAAGGGCATCCGCTGCGTAAAACATATGCTGGATAAGTTGGCAGTTCATTCCGCTGTGGCAACCCCTGATTAATTAAGGAACTAACCCAAAAAGAAAATGAAGAAATGAAGAAATGAAGATAAAGGTTGGCGACAGGGTGGCTCAGTGGACAGCACTGTCGCCTAACAGCAAGAAGATTGATGATTCGAGCCCCGGCTGGGTCTGTAGATGTTTCTGTGTGAAGTTTGCATGTTCTCCCTGTGGGACTAAGCTGAAGGAAAATGCATGAATGAGATTTCAGAACACTCAAGAAACGCCACTAGAGATTAGTTTAGTTCAATATATACTGATTTCAGGAATCACATCAGCATATGATTCCTGAAATCAAAATATACTGAACTAGGTGAACGGATAATTTAGAAACACACTGTAGACGTTTTATGAGTCTAAACGGACCTAAAATACTACACAGCCGAGTTTGACCCAGTTGTGGTGCACCGAGCCCACTTTCCAGCTCATCAAAATGAGTAGCCATGGGAAGGTTAATTGATACTGACTCATTCATGACTAACTCGGCTTAAACCTTGATTGGCTTGGCGTGGTTTGTGGGTCTTAGTTATTTCCTCTCTTCGGTTCATTCAGTCACTCAGTGATCCGAATATGCTTAATATAGTCCAGCTTAATTTAGAAAACACTCTTGCTTACACTCTTGACTGTTAGTTTATGTACTGTATTTGCGATTTCTCCATCACTCTCCAAAGGGTTTCCATCACTTGATTTAAAGTGGACCTATTGTGCAAAAATGACTTTAAAAAGGGGTTTAAATATTGTTGTGAAGTAAAAGTCTGTGAATATAACCAGGTTCTAATGGTGAAGGTTAATTCATTTTATTTTTTGTAATCACACTGGATTAAAACAGTCTGCAGAAACACTTTTTACATGTCATCAGAGGGGGAAAGCCCCATCCATAAGTGACGATCTGTTTTTTGAATCTGCCACTATGCTGAGTCATTTTTAGCTCCACTCTCTTTTGAAAAAAAGCTCAAATCTCATTTGAATTTAAAGCTACTGTCACCAAAATGGCCAAAATTTAGATCAATGCCTAAACGGGGCAGATTCAAAGAGTTCTAAAACATTATCTGTGGGGTATTTTGAGCTGAAATTTCACATTTACACTCTAGAAACATCAGAGACTTAAGCCCAACCCCAAATCTACCCCTTAGCCCTTCCCTTTACAAAGGGGTAGGGGTGTCCCAATTCTCTCTAGCTTGAAGGCATAGGGCTAAGGGGAAGGGCTAGATACCCCTCAAAAGAGAGATTTTTCAGGACCACACTCGAAACCAAGGGGTAAGAAAATTTCCTGGAAAACATCAGCTACATTGGCAGCATGGCTGCACACCGAAGTCAGGAGATGCACAAATGAGTATTTTTTGTTAATAATACTGATTTTTACAACAAATACATTCATAACGACGTTCATGTTTTACCGTCATGTTTAAAAAAAAAACACTACAATAAAAACCGCTAAATTTCACTATATAATCTGTATCTGTAACAAGCAGTTGGACTGGTGTATCTAATAAAATGGCCTGTGTAGCTGTAGTCATTTGTAGTTGTATTCATAAACTGCTTGCTAACATCTATTAATGTGGAGTTAATGCTTAACAAATAACTATTTGCTAATGCCTAATAAGTGATTCATATTGTGTAGTCATTATAAAGTGTTACCCAGCAGTTTATCTTGTAGTGAAAGGAGTAAACACTCCAGCTGATGTCCGTTTTTGTGTGTATTACAGGAGGGCAAGCAGGCGTCTCTGGCTGCTGATTTCTCCATCACTCAGTTTAAGCACTTGGGTCGCCTGCTGATGGTCCACGGCAGGAACAGCTATAAACGCTCAGCGGCGCTCAGTCAGTTCGTCATTCACCGCAGCCTGTGCATCAGCACCATGCAGGTACTGTACATCTGCTCCATTCATCAACACACTAGCTGCACACACACACACACACACAAAACACACTGCTTGTTCAGGCAAGGGTCAGTGTTGGTGTTTGGGGATGTTTGGCATTTCGATCCATGATGGTTTAAAGTCGTAGAAAAAGCTAAATAGACTTTTTAATTTTGTTGCACACTATGTTTAGTTGTATATGTTTGCACTTGTAGAGTTTGTTTATAATATAGCTTTAAAGACCTTTATTTTAAAATGAGGCAATAATTTCCAATTCAGCAGTGGTTATTCCAAACATTATGGTTTCATTAATATATATGCAAATAAATATGAATCTATAAATAAGATAAGTAAATCTAAAAATATATAAGTAAATGTATAAATTAGAGAGAGTCCAGGTGAAAATGGTTTTTCCCAACTTTTTTTTTTCTTTAACCCCTGTGTGCTGTTAGGGATGTTTTCATCCACTCTGGGGTGATTTTGATATTATTTTGGCCACAAATTTCTGTTTCAGTAAATTTAATGATCTTATTTTGATGCATATTTTGGGAAAATGCGTTAAAAAATGTTTCCAGAACTCAGCAATACACTCTGGGCAAATTGACTACCCTTCCGTTATATTAGTGGCTGTTTTTGCCCCATTGACTTCCATTATAATGACATTTTTTGATTTGCAAAGGCATGGTACCATATAATTATGCATTATTTATTATTGGTGGTTTTCCCTGTTGAGACGAAATTGTAATTTTTTACTGTTGATAATTGGTTGTAGTTCAAAAATAGCTTAGTTTCTGGCTTTTATATGGAGTTACATGGAGTAAAGTGTGAGCGTGAGAGAGATCTTAATTGAGAAAATCAAAAACAAGCAGCTCAGCTCTCAGACATAGTAAACATAGTAAATGTATTTATGCGCGTACAATTTAATTTGTTGTTTTACTGCATAGAACTTCATGTAAAAGCCAGAAACTTTTTGCACAGGCCTATCTAAAGCAGTGGTCACCAAACTTGTTCCTGGAGGGCCGGTTTCCTGCAGATTTTAGCTCCAACCCTAATCAAACACACCTGAGCAAGCTAATCAAGGTCTTACTAGGTACTTGAAACATCCAGACAGGTGTGTTGAGGCAAGTTGGAGCTAAACCCTGCAGGGACACCGGCCCTCCGGGACCGAGATTGGTGACCCCTGATCTAAAGGGTTAATAGTGCCAACCAGGGCCATAGCTAAAGGAATTGAGGCCCTCTGGAAAAAATATATCGATGTAAGCCCTCACCATCCCCTGTATACACATATACAGTTGAAGTCAGAATTATTAGCCACCTTTGTTTCTTTTTTAAATATTTCCCAAATGATGGTTAACAGAGCAGGGAAATTTTCACAGTATGTCTGATAATATTTTTTCTTCTGGAGCAAGTCTTTTTTTTTCGGCTAGAATAAAAGCAGTTTTTAATTTGTTAAACACCACTTTAAGGTCCAAATTATTAGCCCTTTTATATATAAAATATAAAAATATAAGTTAGAGAGAGTCCTGGTGGAAATGTATGTTTCTGTCTGTTGATGCTATTTTGTGTTTTGTGTAGCATAAATATATATTTGGGTATAATACCAATAATTTTGCATGCATAAAATCTAAAGTTTAAATGTAATAATATAAGTATTAAGTATATTAACATGTGTAAAATGTTGCATCCATATCATTTAATTTTACTTTAATTAGATTTTTTTTTTCGTTCTTGCTTTTTACAGTATTTTCAGATGTTTGTAGTGATATGAGAAAATTATATGTGTAAATATATATATCATGTTTATATACTCATAGAATTATGACAGTGTGACATTATGACATGATATTAAAGGCAGATAGACTATTATTAAAATAGTTCTCATATAGTTAAAATAAAAATCATATACATTGCATATATGTAATTATATATAAGTGCTCTGTAGTTTATAATGAATCATAGTTTTCTGAATTAATCACCAGCACGAGTGAAAGATATCTTATGTATGCTTATGTATGTTTCAGGCTGTGTTTTCCTCTGTCTTCTACTTTGCATCTGTTCCTCTGTATCAAGGCTTCCTCATTATCGGGTGAGTGTTGATGAGTCATTTGCACTGGGTGATTCTCTCTGGCATTTCAGCCATGTGTTTCAGAAAGCTCTGACATTTGAGGAGCGCTCAGCCTTTTTTCCATCAAGAAGATGTACATCAAAAAAGCTTTTGTTCTCCTCAAATGAACAACGGGTTAAAGATGAACTGGCTTTAGGGCTCTTATGATTCAGTTTGTTCATCAACTACATTTTTCCTGGACTTGAAAAGTTTTGAAATATTAGGAAAATCAATAATAAATAATGTGATTTGCTGTACAATATTTCAGTGGCTAGAAATGCAGTCTTTAAGCCGTCTTTAGGTCTTTTTAAATCTTAAAATGCAGAGTCTTTTTAAGTTTTTCAAATGCAGTCTTTAAGCAGTCTTTTAAGTATTTTTAAGTCTTCAAATGCAGTTGTTAAGTCTTTAAACAATCTTTTAAGTATTTAAATGCAGTCAGTAAGCAGTCTTTTAAGTTTTTTAATGTAGTCTTTTTGCAGTCTTAAGTCTTTTTAAGTCTATTAAGTCTTTAAATGCAGTCTGTAAGCAGTCTTTTTAGGTCATTAAAATACAGTCTTTAAGTTTTTAAGCAGTCTATTAAGTATTTAAATGCAGTCTGTAAGACAGCTTTTAAGCCTTTTTAAATCTTTAAAATGCAGTCTTTAAGTTTTTAAGCAGTCTTTTAAGTTTTTTAATGGAGTCTTTTTGCAGTCTTATGTCTTTTTAAGTCTTTAACTGCAGTCTTTAAGCAGTCTATTAAGTTTTTTAATGCAGTCTTTAAGTTTTTAAGCAGTCTTTTAAGTTTTTTAATGGAGTCTTTTTGCAGTCTTATGTCTTTTTAAGTCTTTAACTGCAGTCTTTAAGCAGTCTATTAAGTTTTTTAATGCAGTCTCAAGTTTTTAAGCAGTCTATTAAGTCTTTAAATGCAGTCGTTATGCAGTCTTTTAAGTCTTTAATATGCATTCTTTGTGTTGCGCCACGCTGTTTAAATAGCAAATGCATTTACGCTCAAATGTGCGCCCATAGGCATTCTGGTCTAAAAAGCAGGCGTGTTTTGGCGCGTTGCTATTCTGGTCTAAAAAAGCAGGCGTGTTTTGGCGAGTTGCTATTTTGAGAAACTGTAAATAGTCTGATCTTTAGACCAGAACAAAGTCGGTCTATTGTCTGGCGCAAAGTGCGCCTGGCTTACACACTACAAACAAGATCCAGAGCAATACGCAAATATCTTTACATATGAAAAATATATAATATCTTATATATATATATATATATATATATATATATATATATATATATATATATATATATATATATATATGTATATATAATAAGGATATATACAGGATATAAATATAAATGATTAAAATATTACAAAACATATTAATTTCTAGCCTTCATGACCACTGCCTTACTTTCTTCATCTCGGGAGGCTTTTTCAGTTCATTCATAACAATTTGCTTTTGTATAATGTTATTATTATTAGCAGTATTATTTATTATATCCATATTTATATTTGTTTTGTTAAAAACAAGCTTAGATTTGTCCACCTGTCAAATTTTAGACCATATGGGGCATGGCAGGTGTATTTGGAAATAACTCAGTATTTTGACCACTCTTGGTCATTATTGTTCATTTATTCGTTTGCTAGAAATTAGAACTGAATTTAGAAATAGTTTTGAAACAAATCTTTGCGCTTAACAAACGAAATTAATTATTTATAGGCTAATTGATGTCTGTGCGTAAAGGTTTCCCTATCCACGAGAGCAAAAGCGAAAGTGAACTTACTTTGTCAAAATGCGCTCTTGGCGCGACGCAGCTGGCTCTTAAAGGGAATGGGAGATGAGGCTCTAATTGGTTTATTCTCAAAACACACCTATAACTCATTAAGAAAATAAACTCAACCCTTTTAGACCATGCGCCATGGCGCAAAGCGGATTTTCCCGTCCTTCAATTAGCAAAAATGCGTTCTGACACGCCCTGAAAGCGTTTGCGCCCTGCGTTTTGCGCTCTGCGCATGGACCGTCAAAATACAGCCCTAAGTCTTTAAAATGCAGTCTGTGAACACTTTTAAGTCTATTAAGTCTTTAAAATGCAGTCTGTGAACACTTTTAAGTCTATTAAGTCTTTAAAATGCAGTCTGTGAACACTTTTAAGTCTATTAAGTCTTTAAAATGCAGTCTGTGAACAGTCTATTAAGTCTTTAAATGCAGTCTTTTTCAGGTCTTAAGTCTTTTTAAGTCTATTAAGTCTTTAAATGCAGTCTGTAAGCAGTCTTACAAACCTATTTAAGTCTTTAAAATTCAGTCTTTAAGTTTTTAAGCAGTCTTTTAAATCTTCAAATGCAGTCTTTAAGCACTCTTAAGTGTTTTAAGTCTTCAAATGCAGTCTTTAAGCTGTCTTTTACGTATTTTTGTGTCTTTTAAGTTTTTCAATGCAGTCTTTAAATCTTTAACTCTGCTAGAAGTGCAGTCCTAAAATAAATTACATTCTTGAAATCTGGTGATGTTGAATGAGTTAAAATTGAGACAAATAGACAGATATTAATTTTTATAACCAATGCAGATTATTTGGATGCTATGTGCATAATAACCAATGTACAAAACCAAAGTTTATGTAAACTGAATTAGGTTTAGTTATAAGACTAGGACTAAATTAAACATGCTGTTTGTTTGTGGTACTTGTGCCATTACTGATTATTGGTATTTAATTTAAATTGTATTAGCTTTTTATTATACAAAATACATTTTCCTTGTAGATTTTTCAATATTATTTTATGTATTTTAAAGTTATATATTTGAACATTATTATACATTGCATCAGAATTTTTTATTTATTTTTGGTTGTATGAAATTTGCTGATGTGTCATACAGGTACTCCACGATCTACACCATGTTCCCTGTTTTCTCTCTGGTTTTGGACAAAGATGTTAAGTCAGAGGTGGCCATGTTATATCCTGAACTTTACAAGGATCTTTTAAAGGTATTTGTGACACTCAATCTCAACTACAACCTACAACCATTTAGACATTTTATTTACCATAATAATAATTGTATTTGCTTTCAGGGACGGCCGCTCTCCTTCAAAACGTTCTTAATATGGGTCTTAATCAGTATCTACCAAGGTAAGCCAACAATCTGCTTCTTACACAGTTATAAGTCCTCCTAAATTATTAGCCCCCTGTATATATTTTACCCAATTTCTGTTTTATGGAGAGAAGGTTTTTTTTAACACATTTCTAAACATAATAGTTTTATTAACTCATTTCTAATTACTGATTTAATTGACCTTAGTCATAGTGAAGCCTTTAAATGTCACGTTAAGCTGTATAGAAGTATCTTGAAAAATATCTAGTAAAATATTATTTACTGTCATCATGGCAAAGATAAAATAAATCAGCTATTAGAGATGAGTTATTAAAACGATTATGTTTAAAAATATGTTGAATAAATCTTCTCTCCGTTAAACTTATAAAAATAAATAATTAAATATATAAAAATATACGGGGCGGCTAATAATTCAGGAGGGCTAATAATTCTCACTTCAACTGTATATCAATCACAGTTTTTCAGCCCCACTGGTGTTTGCCTTTAAGCTCAAAGTTCACATAACACTTAAGGAAAGGAAGTGCTTAAAAAAAGTTAAATTCATGCAAGTGTTCTTCCTTTTCCTGAGATCTTTGATCGGACAGTCTCTGGAATTCATATCGCCCTAATGAAACGAAGCCTCACTGCCGAGACAAACATTTTCTTTTTATCCTGACCTCTGTCATATATTTGCAGCTAAAAATGCATACAATAATGTGCTTTATTTAACTTGAAAGAATGAACTTTTCTGTCCTTTACCGTAATCGTAACCTTTACCCTGAAGTCAAATTAAACCAGAGGAAGATTGTCAAAAATGTTAGAATGCAGTCTCAAGTGTAAAGTGTTATTCAATTACTCATGTGCTAAAAATATAATGCATAATAATGAAAATATAATACACAGCATATTTCATTCTGTCAAATAAAACTTTTTACTATATTTGATCATTTCACACTTTATAAGTTCCCTTTTGTCTTGTTATTAAATGAATGAATTAAAAAAATTGTAAATAAATAAATAAAAACTACAAAATATATATATAATTGTATGTTTTTATTCTTAAAATAATTTAAGGATTAATCAAATAAAATACTTATTTTTTTTAATCTATCAGACTTTTGTTGATTTCACATGTTTTTTTATAAAATAAATAAATAACTTAAATGTATTTTTGTTCTTAAAATAATTTTAGGACAAAACAAATAAAATACTGACTTTTTCACTCTAAGGCTTGTATTAAGCACTTGTGATTAAATAAAAAAATATATTAATAATTAAATTAATATACCTAAAAATGTATATAATGTTTTTGTTCTTAAAACAAGTGTAGGATAAAAAAATACTGACTTTTTTCTTTGTCAGACTTGCATTTGTTCATTTCATATGCTTTTTTATCAAATATATAAATAAATAACTTTATTATATTTTGGTTTTTAAAATATTTTTAGGATAAAATAAATAAATTACAGACTTTTTCTGCTTTCAGGCTTGCATTTGATCCTTTCATATGCTTTTGAGTCATACTATATTCTTACACAGAATGTTATATTGTAGTCTCAAGTGGAGTTCAGTTAATAATCAGCTAAATACTATATTAATTAAATATATATATATATATCAGGGGTGATAGCGTTCCGGCACCACGCCGGATTTCCGGCGTACTGTGGCTGCGGGGGGAAAAAAATCAGGTTCACGGATATTGATCTGTATTTCTCTAGATTCACAGAATTCACTCACTGCTGAAAGCGGCGGATTGGTTTTTATTAAGTGCCATTTTGTGTGCTCGTGAATCATCTTTTGAGTGTAGACGCCATGTAAATAAAAGATTAATTGTGTAATTTAGAGAGCTTTATAAATTATAACGGATCTTTGTGAGATCTCTATGACCTAAGATTAGTGACGCTTTTTAGTGATAATAAGAGGAGCGTGCTTTGCACTTTCCAGGATATAATCTATTCAGAATTTGTATGAAACTTTCGTTTTCGGCACATATACGCTGATATGTTTTGGGAATGACATCTGCATATTTACGCTGGGTTTATTCTCGAAATAACGGTGAAGCAATAGACGGGACAAAAATATATTTCCTCCTTCTCCTTAAACAACTTAGTGTTTCAGCTATGAAATAGTTCAGTTTTGTATGTAGCCTAATGGCAAAGTGTTTATATTTAGTTTCGTTTTTTATTCAGCTTATTTAGAAAAACGTTTGGAGCATTTTTTATTCGTTAAAAATAAGTTTATTATTATTTTTTTTTAACGAACAGCGCCCAGCGGAAGACCATCATTGTCTGTTTGATCAGTTTGCCTTCTCAGATCATCACGACTTGCCTAAAATAAAAGATAAAACAGTTCAAGTATAAAACAATGGTAGCTTAAACGTTAAAGAATGTGTGCTATTAGGCGCATAGTTTGCTTATAAAAAGCTTGCAGGACATCGAGGCGCCAGAGCAATCACTTGCATTTTTTCAGTGGGAGCAATTTAAAGTTATCCGTCATTTTTGCTCACAAAGTACGAGTAATAGGCTACATCAAAAAAACGTTACAGCGTTTTTATAAAATAAAGAAAACCAAAGTTATGCGCTTTCTGTCGTCTGGTTTTTGAACAGGAGCGCTCAACAAAATGAAGCAAAATGTATATGCCTCACAGACATAATAAATATATTTATAGAAAGCTTTAAATTTGTTACTTAACGAAATAAAACAAATCGAAAACAAAAAAACTCCTTCATGTAATCCGTAAAGATGAATTTCTCTCTAAAGGCGAGTCCAACAGGAGATTGCCAGTCAGGATCTTTGCGACACTGACTCAGAATAAGTTTATTAATAAATAATTAAGATATGTCCTTGCTCTTTCCTCGACACATTCATTGTTATTTGTTTTTGCCGGTGCTTGGGGCGAGTTTTAGCTTATTGTGTGCGCTTAAACGCGGATTCACAGTAGCAGTTTTAACATGGAGAGACACTACTTTAACATGTACAGATGACACTGTCGTACGTACAGATAACCCTATCGCGCCTAAAGCGAGCAAGCCAAGGCCAGTGGCGTTTCCACTGTCACTTCCGGGGCCTAATCGGGCCAAAGCGGGGCTTTCTTGGGGCCAGCGGCCGGCTTTTTTCGGCCCGCCGAATACCTTGGGCCAAAGAGGGCCAGCCGAGGCGGGCACAGTTTTCCGATCGCACACGAGTACATGCGCCAAACACATAAACAAACAAATAAATAAGAGAAAGACAACATCTGGAACAAATTATAGGCTGGGGTCTTTTTTGCATATGATCGCCCTTATGTTTCTCTTTTAAATGTAAGGCTGTTGCATAAAATGATAGTTTTAATAAGTCACTTTTCTTTGCTGCATTTCTTTGATGTTTCAATAACTAATCTTTACACCATATTAAAGACACAGCAGACAGTAAAGGATTTCAAGAGGTTTTGTCAAGTTTAATAAGTGTTTTTGCGCGTTTAGATGCCTGTGTATGTGTGTGAGACCGAGGAAAAGAGCGCTCCATTCATAGCTCTGTTGATGCCGCGAGCGGCTTTTTTCTTTTCTTTTTATTGTTTTAATTTATTTTGGAGATAATACACTATATGAATACAACAGAAAGACATTAAACTTTACAATTTTCATGTCCGCTTTTGTAGGCTCAAAACAATAGTGTCATATCTAGATAAAATAGCCTAAGCTATATTTAAATAATTTAAACAATTATCAGATAGGCTTATAATAAAATCACATTAAATAAATAAACCAATATAAAACTAACAAAAGCTATAGCTATAACAATTAGGTACTATATCAAACTGTTTCAAATTTATATTAAACTTTCATTTTTCAAAAGCCTATTTGAAAAAAGGATTTTCTAAATAAATAAATAAACACCGGAAAATGTTTTAATATTATTTATAAAGTATTTGGATACGATAATATTAATCAAATCATGCAAACAGAGCATTTTCGGGGTGAGTGAACGCAGAAAATATGCGACCTTTTTTCTGTCTTCAGCTGCGCAGCACTTTTTTGACGGGGAAAACTGCAAGTTCAAACTGTGTTCTGTGTCCTTAAACAAGTGTGTATGTTTTTATATAATGTGGTAAAATTAAAAAAGGAAATTTAAAATACATAAAGAGCTTTATTAGTGCATTGCTGCTGAGCGCAACGAAATATAGGCAATATTTTATTACGTGCTGCTCTTATGTGCTGAAACACTGAACACTTTCCTTTACTTAAGATATAATAAGCAACATCTTTAAATAAAGGGAATCACCTATTAAGTGTCGTGTCGTAAAGCCTATAGGGAAAAATAATCATGTTTCAGTTCTCTCCGGAGCATTTGGGATGAATGTTGGACAGCGTCTGTCTAGAGGATGTTATAAAATACATTTTATATCGAGTTATTAACGGAGAATTTTATATATGTGGTGTTATATTATGGATGTGTGCGCTCCCTGCGCTCCGGGTCCCTCCGTTGGTGGCAAGACCACTGGATTTCGATGCCAGTGGGTCGGCGAGTAAATGAATATGATGAATGAAAACACACAGGCATGTGCGTATAGACATGCGTTGCACTGCTGTACAGTAACGTGTCATTTGTTTGTTTTGGTTGTCCTAATTTTAATAGTTTCGTGATGATGTGATGGTGTGCTTTATCTGCATGATTCTCGCTGAAGTGGGCGGTTTGAGTGACGTTCGATTCGGGGGATGTTCTGGGGGCGGGGTTTGCTGACGCGCTGCTAGCTACTAGCCCCACAGTGGAAACGCGACATGATTTCGGCCTCACTGCTCAACCTCCCAGGCGATTGGCCCGGCCTGGCCCGATATAAGCCCTGGCTCGCACTGGCCTGATAGTGGAAATGCGGCTAGTAGTGACACTTCCGGTGGCACGTCCGGTTTTCCACTGTCATGTGTCACTCGCTAGTGGCATGTGTAGTGACCTGTGTCACTCAGAGTGTCGCGCTGCATGTCACTGCAGTGACATCGACACCCGGCGAAGCTTATGACATTAATTAACACGAGCAAAACCATATTTAATCATTACGCGACAT